ACCTATTTACCTTCCCCGATACCATGGTTTCCGAATTTTTTTTCTACTCAATAAGTTTCAGTAAGAAGTTAGAATATACTTGCTTGAGGAAAAGGCCAAGTTTTCCGTGGTAACGGAAAGGGGGGAAAATTTGGTGAGTGGGGAAATTTCGAATCTCTGAGACACCTATTCCATTTGCAAATAATATAGTTTCATATTTTAGAAAAAACGATGGCAACACTACATTCCTCATCTCATACGAACTGAAAATTACCAAAAAGGATTTGCAATGTTACGTGCCTTTTAAATTAACGATTTCAATTATGGTTACACAACAGCAAACATTTCTACGTATCAGGAATAATTGTAATTAATATAGATTTTAGAGATGTTTTTGTACATTTCTAGTATTATGAAAATGACTTGCTGTACTCTGTTGCGCGTTAAGAAAAACCCATTATCCCTATGGAGAGACCCTGTTTGCATTTAAGTGCACGCCAAATGGACGCCAAGCTTCAAGCTCTAACTTGTATCAATATCGCCAACTCTTAAAATGACGTTGCACAACATCCTTTTTCTTTTTTTCTTATTAATAACTATAACAGTTATTAACAATAATGATCAATTAACAAATCAATACTCAATTAATCAGGAATCAATGAAAATGATATTTAAAAATCGTAGCAAATATACGTCTTTCTGTTCGTATTTAAAGAAACTGATGGAAGAGTAATAAATATTTCTTGCAGACGATTTTCTTCTACAGCGAAACAAAAGTAAGAATTTGTTAAAGACATATCAGCGTAAGTCGCGCCATTCTCAGTGGTCCAATTAAATCCGATTGCCTTTGCAACGTCATATAGTAGTTTCTTTTTCAAGAACAAATGTTCTTATTTATCGAAATATGTCGCCAAGTCTAGGATTCTAGAAAAGCTACGAAACTATAACCTTTTATTTTAAATAATTCTACGATATACATCGTAAAAGGTAGCACGAATTAATTTTCCACCTGACGTGTTTAACTTTTGAAAGTTTTTATATTGTTTTGAAAGCATATTTGTATAATTTGATAACGAAATAAAACGGAACTATATGAGCCGCGGATGAATACTTAAATCTCATATCACAATGGTCTTTGTTTAAATCGCAACGGAGTATAGTATGTTTTTAGAACATTAGTGTTGTGAAGCTAAAGCAAAATTTTTCTTTAAGGTTTTGAAATAGTTTTAAATAAACTAAGTAAACGATTTTCCATCTCTAGTTTGAATTAATTTAAAATTGCATGCTTCTATATTGTCTAAATGGAGATAGAATTGCTCACTATGTATTTTTCTTTGAAAGAAAGTTGGCTAAAAATTGTTGCAATTAAAGTAAGCATATTTAAATACACCTTTAATAATAATAGTTATGATGAGTATAAATAATATTTTATCCGGAAATGTTTAGTAAAATTTTGCAATTTTCTTAAAGACGAAATTTTACTTGATATACAAAATTTGATTAGATTTATTTTTTATTCTACTTCCACAAATTTAAACGTTTTGCAAAGAAGCAATTCTATGATTAGAAAATAAGATTGCCATTTGTAGAATTTAGTTGGATATTCCTATGCAGAAGAATTGTGGTAAAATTCCGTATAGTATGGTAATGGCATTTCTGGTATATAAAAATATACTTCTAGTAATAAAAACCAAAATATACGGTATCTAAACCATATTTTGGTATTGTTTCTGTTTATTTGGTAACGGTTCTTTTGAAGTTTTGGTTTTCAAAATTTTAGCTCTTATTATCATACATTTTGTAAACCATATATAATTGAAAAGTAAATTTAACAACAAAATTTGTTTTTATGTCAAGCTCTAAAACAGCGGTTCCCAAATGCTGGTACCTTGGGATTCTGTGCTAAGGGTCACGAGAGTTCCAAAAGTTTAAATTTTCAAAATCAGTAATGATTTTTGAAATTTGCAATTATATTTATATCAATATAATTTATATAATTTATATTATTATATTTACATAATTTGACTTCTAAGGAACTATTCGACCAATTTCGCTCAAATTTTGTATTGTGGCATGCAAAATTACATTCTTTAAAATTATGTAAAAAATGCTATACCTTACAATTCAAAATATTTTTGACCATTAATAAGTAAAATAATTTTAAAAAAAATAAATACTGACTAAAAGTTATTTTTCAATGAAATTATCTTTTGATAATCTAATTTTATAATCGTGTGAAATTTTTTTTTTATTTCGCTTTAAGTGTTCTCAAGACTAAACTTTTAAGTGTTCAAGAAATAGGCAAGAAATAAAATTAACATTAAGAGGTCAAAACTTTGAACCGCTCTTCTGATAAAACTATGGGGATCATATTTCCCAGATTGCGGCTACACCCTATATTATTAGGGTCCAGAATCTGAATCTATCGAAAAGAATGTATATTTATTTATCGAAAGTACGTTTGTGTGTCTGATTTCGTAACTTAAAATATCGTCTGCACTAATTATTTATCATATTTGTGGTCACCCTTTAAGATTGAGTTCTAGAACGTGATCTTTAGATCAAAAGTTATGCGGGGTTCCATTTTTTATTTTCCGCACTGTACATTCACAAAAATTAAAGAAACAAATTTTTAAATAGGGAACATTTCTATTGAACGTCGAAAAAATGAAATTTAAAATCAGAGAGTTTTAAAAGCGTTTCACATGCTACGTGTTATATATTTTTTAATAGAAATAACTAGCTGTTTAAATTATACGCTTCCTAATAAACGTATGTTTAATACGCTTTTTGGAAAGTTTAATGAAAATGGGTCTTCAATAAATAAAATAGTTTTTTGCGTATAATACATATATTAATATAGGTATGCATATAAATATAAATATTGCAATAACATTATTTTTATAATGAAAATCATCGGTTAATGATAGGAATATGATTGATTAACTCAAATTTCATGTCAGAAATTACTTGATATTAATTTAAATATTCATTGAATCAAATGGTTTATTTATTGAAATACCTTTGTAGGGATTTTAATAACCTTATATTTCACAAACATACAAATTATTATTTTTTATCAGTATTATTTGTTATATTCAGATACCTCAGCTGAAAAATTGTTTCATAATCTTTATAATAACTTCGAAAACTTTTTTTAGCGTTCCTAAACTAATAATTCATTTCCTCGAAAAATATAATAATAATGCTTAAACCCACTGAGGGTCAACATTCCATGAACTTCCATAAGAAAAAAGACAGACAGTTCAAGTGGTAGTAATTAAAAGACTGGTGGTTTCACTATTTCATTCTTGAAATATATCTTTGAAAAATAAGACGTTAGTAAAATATTGTGATATTTTATTTTTGAAACTCTTTTGTCAAGAAAAAAAAATATTGACGTTTAGCGCCTTTCGTATTGACGTTTTGCGCCATTTTCAGATTTAGAATAGATGGCGCTAGCCAAAGAGAAGCTTAACTTGACCAAACAGTCAAGAGTGACTGCGACAAACTCACCATTTATGAAAATAGCGAAATATTCTCGAAACTGTAGAACTTTCGAAGCCTGCCGTCATAGGACGGCAGTCTTCGAAATACAGCCTGATATATAAAATAATATCCAACACTATAAAATATTAAATTAATTTAAACTAAAATGCCCAACCAGACTCTTCTTAAACGTATTTTTTATATTACTACAAATTGTTTCATCTTTGCAACAGTAGCGAAGATGAGGTTAATATTTTTCGTGAGTGCTTGGCATTTAAATCGTGAGTGATTATTTCGTGAGTGATCTGGCATTTTAAAAACAAATTTTATCAGATCAACCAAAAACATTCTATAGAAAATATGACCCAGACGTTCCGGACATTCCGTTATTAAGTTTTATCTTTTCAAACGTTCCTGGTTGAAATTGCTATGCTTGTGTTTTCAAGGAAATGAACTATTACTTTTTAGACATCCTGTATACTGGTAAACTAGATTTAAATAAAGTATACCAATAAAAATTAAAAAAAAAATGTTTTGCAAAGTCCACAATTTTTATGAAAATCTGCGAATTTAAAAGAAAATATTTTTGATAAATATTAACTTCCTTAATTAAAATCATTGTCTAATCTAATATTATCAATAACTTTCTCAAATATTTGAAAGTTCATTTTACAATACTTTTAATATAAATAGTTTCAATACAATTTTAATAAATATAATAAATAACATTGTAACAATTAGCTTGAAATTGATTGTTTTATATATTTGATCCTTTTAGTGCAGGTATTTGGAATACAAATCATAAAAATATAATTAAAAAACTAACATTAAGTTGGAAATCTATAGTTTGAGTGCATGATAATATTAACTGAAAAACTGAATTATTCATAGATAGATCTGTTAGAGAGAAGTTAATAGGGTTTTATCATTAATTAAATAAAATGTTTCACTGTTTTAATCCAATGTTTGAGATGAAACAAATAATGTGTGATAGAAATCAAATAGAATTTTAAGGACTTGAATCCTGTTTTGTTCGGTATAGTTCATAAAATAGGAATAATTCAAAAACAGATAAAATGGTGATAAGTCAACATGGATTTATCATTAATTAATTTAAATATTTCTCTGTTTTCATTCAATGTTAGAGATAAAACATATATGTGATAGAATTCTAATAGAATTTCAAGAAATTGAACCTTATTTTGTCCGTTATAATTTATCGAATTGTAATACGTCATGAATGGTGATTAGTCAACATGGATTTACCACTAATTAATTTCAGTGTTTCAATCCAAAGTTTATGGTAAAATAAAAAATGTGTGATACATATCAAATAGGATTTTAAAGAACTGAACCATATTTTTTTCGTTATAGTTCATAAAATATGAAGAGTTTTTAAATGGATTAATTAATTACTGGATTTATCATTTATTGTTTTAAATAATTCTTTGTTTTAATCCAATGTGTGTGATAAAGCAAATAATGTGTGATACAACTCTTACATAGTTTTAAGAAAACTGAACCATACTTTCTCCGTATTTATCCAATGATTTCCACATTTATTAAAAATGCAAAATGATGAAGAGACACATATAGTTTCTTGCGAAGAAAAAGAAAATGATCCTTGTATTTAGTACAGTGATATCATTTATTGCACTCAGAGGAAAATATGTCGGTGAACCACATATGGTGACGCAAACACGTATAATGAACAAACATCAAAACACTTATATATAGAAAGTGTAATTCCATTAATAACATAAATTATCCGGTCCACTGTGGGTGCATCTAAGGAAATAACAAGCTCTTAAAGGTGAATTTGGAATGGAAAAAGCATGGGAAAAGTTCTCATAGAAAGTGCTCATTGGTGTGATTTTTAGCTCCTGGTACAGTAAGAAGAGAAGATTGCTGGTTTGGGTCAAATGTAACTTCACCAGACGGCCACGACACATGGTCAATCTGAGGACTTAGGCATGGAGTCCTTGCCTCTGGTGTGATGGCCTCAGCATTCAGTCTGTCCATTTTGAAGCCTTTACCACCACCTGTACTCGTTTCGTCCATTCCTGTGCCGTTGTGGCGTCTGCAACAAAGCACAACGCGAAAAGCTTCCTTAAAGTCTCTGTTTAAGTATGCATAAATGCACGGATTGAAGGATGAGTTAAAGTATCCCAACCATGTAATGGCACTGCGAATTTCGTAACTAAGGTAACATTCTGTACAGTAAGCGAGAATAACGTACATTAAGAAGAAGGGTAACCAACACACACAAAACACTCCCATGACGATACCCAATGTCCTGATCGCCTTCGTGTCTGTCACCACCTGCTTGGATCTCCTTCTTAAGCTCCTTCGCATTCCTTGAGCATTGACGCCTTGCAAAGATCGCTCCAGTTGCTTGATTTCTCTGGCTTGGTGCTCAGCGACCATCAATATTCGAAAATAGACGTAGAACATTATGGGTAATGGTAAGTAAAATGACGTCATAGAAGAGATGGTGGCGTAAATGTGATTGACAGTCAGAGAACACTGAGTACTGGGTTGAAATATACTTACAGGCTGGTCACTGTACCATCCCATAAATATAGGAATGAAAGATATGGCGGCACTGCACATCCATACGAAAGCGATCACAAGTCCTATTCGCCTTCGTGACACTAGGGCTCGATATCGGAACGGTTTCGTGATGGCCCAGTATCTGTCCAGAGCGATAACACACAAATGTAAAATGGATGCAGTGCAGCACATGACGTCACAGGATATCCACAAATGGCAAGCGATTGGACCGAACCTCCATTGTCTGTCGAGGTCGTAGAGGATTAAGAATGGCATGACTAGTGAAGCTACTGTAATGTCCGCAGTTGCTAAGCTGGCAAGTAACACGTTGGTTATGGATCTCAACCGACGAAATTTTGTGACCACCACCAAGACTAAAACGTTGCCGGTCAATGTCGTTGAGACTAGCATAGAACATATTATTCCGCCGAAGATCCTTAAGGCGAGCTCTCCGCCTTCCACTTGATTCAAGTGCAAACCTAGAAAACAAAGAGGCGATTGTTAGTACTTTGAAACGAAAGCACGAAAGATATAAATTTTTGATCAGTTTTGGGGCTTGTTTAATAATCATATAGCTTAAAATTGCAACAACCTTAATATGATGCTAAATTAAACCGCATATTGTTCTTCGTCTTAAACATGGTTGTAGGAGAAAATAATCCTCTAAGTATTTCTTGAGAAATTAAAAAAAAAGTCAAAAACTTAAAGTGTCTCTTCAATTATTGTATTATAGTTTACTAAATGTAGATAATTTGGAATTATTTCATGTATTTCATGTAAATAAAGTTTCCATAATGCCAGATGTGTCTTCTTTCAAAATTAAGCATAATTTGTATCAATAAGAGTATAGCTAATTATTACGGTTTTCCATAACAGATAAGTATATTGGTTAATATTTTTCGTGNCGGTCAATGTCGTTGAGACTAGCATAGAACATATTATTCCGCCGAAGATCCTTAAGGCGAGCTCTCCGCCTTCCACTTGATTCAAGTGCAAACCTAGAAAACAAAGAGGCGATTGTTAGTACTTTGAAACGAAAGCACGAAAGATATAAATTTTTGATCAGTTTTGGGGCGTGTTTAATAATCATATAGCTCAAAATTGCTGCAACCTTAATATGGTGCTAAATTAAACCGCATATCGTACTTTTGAGAAATTTTTAAAAAAATGTCAAAAACTTAAAGTGTCTCTTCAATTATTGTAGAATAGTTTACTAAATGTAGATAATTTGGAATTATTTCATGTATTTCCAATTTGTATTTATACATAACAAGGTGAATACCTGTTCGTCGTACGGTAGGGGAAAAAAAAGAATCAATGAATTAGTACTAAACAACAGTACAAAACTGTAAGACCAGTATCGACATAAATAACAAAGTTAAAATAATTTCAATCTTTTTTTACTTATTATTGTTGACTTTCTCGGTGGCTTTGCTTTCTTATATTAAGAAAAATACCTACTTAATTGTTCATCTCATCAAAATAAAGGCTAACTATATTCGGTATCATCTGGCAAAATGCTGTTTCTCGAGGCAACTCATGATATTTAAAATTCATCACAATCAGGGTACTTTCTCCTGTACTTATATCTTCGAGGGACCGTAAAAACCTATTTCCTTAGTATCTATCATAAAAATTCCCGTAGTGGACTGATCGTAAAGACACAGTTCCCCTACGTCAAGCAGCATAAGAGAATGGGTGACCACTTTGATAAGCTTGCGAAGGAACCGGGAATACGCGGTATCGGTCCTCGTTAAACTGTTCTACAGTAAAGTGCTCGACTTCACACAGATCGTCGGGCTATCAAATCCCCTCTGCAGAGGATCAAAATTGCGATGGCATGTCTTCGAATCATCCTACGGGATGTTTCCCAGACCGTCACCAATTGCCCATTGTGCAGCTCTAGTGTGACGTAAATAAAGTATCTACCTATCATAAAAATGTACAGTATTGATGCAACTTTTATAATCACCAAATTTGGTCACAAAATATTTTGTACTTACATAAAAGTTTAATTGATACATATTAAAACTGCGCTATTTTCCATAATGTGTCTTCTTTCAAAATTAAGCATAATTTGTATCAATAACAGTATAGCTAATTATTACGGTTTTCCGTAACAAATAAGTATATTGTCTTATCTTTTGAGTACATTAGTATTTCTTAGCCTTTCATAAGCCAGCTTTTTTTATTTGATTTAGTACCCGTTCCCAAAATAATTAAGCATCGTTGAAGTCAATAATAAATTGTTTAAATTTTACGCTCTTTTGAATGCTAAACCAATGCTCGCTAAACGTATAAGAAAATACCATTTTTTAATTGTCTCTGAATAAAAAATATAGTTAAAAAATCGAAAATCGAGCTTCGACCTTTGCTTACAACTGTACTAATTTAGTTTCATGTCGAATGCCATATTTTGGAGCCTACGGCTTAACTGCCCCCATTATACAGACACACAAGCACAAATTATTTATTTTATCTTATATATAGATTATAAAACATCAATTTTATATGTAATTTTTTTAATATAATTTTTATTCAAGTCTTGAAATAACAAATAAATTAAAAAGAGATCATAATTTTAAAGGAAAACCATATTTTACTTTATTATATAAACTATCCAATTTGCACAATTTTTTTTCAAACCGTAAATAAATTGCATTTAATATCACTAACGAGAATACTTATATAAAAATCTTGCATCTCAAAATTTATGTAAATTCTTGAAGAAAATAAAATTAATCCCTTTCTTGCAATAATCATCTTGATTATTCATCATAATTAACTTTTTAAAAAAATTCAGTGGTAGATTAAGACTTTTATCACTAATTAAGAGAAATGTGCGCTGTTCAGATTTACTTCTCATTTTTTTAAAATTTTTTCGTTGATCTTTGAACAACTGAAAAAAAGTTGTCTTTACTTAAAGTTTTGAAAGAGGAAAACTAATTCAATTTTTTAAGCCTCATTAAGGAACTGGACATTTTTTTTTTTTTACCATACCTTAGTTTGTCTGATCCAATCATTTCAAAACTATTTACGAGAAAGATATTTGTTTTTCATGCAGGTAATTATGAAATTAATTAACAGCATTTCTTTAGAAAGGAGAACCATGCTATCAAAAAATTATTTATGTTGGTATTTATTTGGTTGATACGATATTCTTCTCAAATCAACACAGCATTTGCATCATATTAAACTGATGCAAATTTAGTTATCCGAATTAATGTGCTAGAAGAAATGAAATAAATCTACACGGAGAAAAAAGTAAGATCAAAACAAGTGAAATATGATTTAACTTCGTGTTTCTGGTTCTATAGAAAAAAACAAAGCACAACAAAGCAAAAATAGCACGTTAATTTTTACCGACGCGCTTTGATAATGATTTTGATTAAAACAATAAAATATTGTTTGATACTATACGTTAAAATTTCGTAATTTTATCATAGTATCTTAAAGAATTGCATCAAAACATTTATCGGTGAAATTTACATTTCAATTTTGTATTTTTACTAAATATGTGGTAATAAGAAGCTGTGATAATAAGAAGCTGTGATAATAAGAACTGTAATTTTGAAAACCCGAATTTTCGGTATACCGGTTACGGAAAAATTACCAAATTAATGGTTTAAATATTCTATATTTTGGTTTTATTATAAGAATTGTTATTTTTTTAACCAGTCTTTAAACCATCTGGTAATTTTACCAGATTTTTTTTCTCCGTGTGGTTTAAAGTTTAATGTATTGTTTTTTCAACAAAAAAAGTAATTTAGTGAATAATACGATACAAAAAATTAGTTATAAATTTTTCAAATATATTTTTAACTTTCGTATATGGAAACAAGGTTTTTTTTAAAAAATCTCAAATGGCAGATTATGAACAGTTACAGCAGAAAACAAGTAAAAAGAAAGAATACAGTACAAAAGGAAATACAAAAAAATATGCTGAAATAGAGTTCATTAATCTAACATATGTCTAGCCTCCCAATAATTCTTGCCTAGAGCAGGGCAGTGGAGTAGAAGTGCGGAGTCCATGACCTCTCCAGAGCTGCACAGAGTGCATATGGGGGAAGGGACAATTTTGAGTCCATAAAGATGGTTTCTTGGGCAGTCATGTCCAGTTGCTAGGCGGAATTCGGCGACTGCTCTTCACCTTGGGCCATTACACAAATTTGGGATAGCATTCTTCCAGGACTTTTGGGAAACACGGTTATAGAGTTCTTCATGAGCGCGGGCTTTAATAGATATTTTAATAAGATTTTTAATAGTATGGAAGGGAATAGGACGAGAAATTTTTGGCATAACTAAAACACCTTTTTTAGTCAGAAAGTCGGCTTTCTCGTTGCCTGGAACTCCACAGTGGGCAGGAACCCACTGGAGTACTATATTTTTCTCAAATGATGCCAGGTTCTTAAGACGATAACGGCAATTCAATGAGTCCTATGTTATGAGATTATTATCAGAAACGATAGCCAACAGAGCAACTCTAGAACCGCTGATGATTTGTCCTCTTGTGAATTTTTCCTAGGGGCATTGCAGCTAGGATAGAGCTGTGCGGATCGCAGCAATTTCTCCGTCAAACGCAGTACCCCACAGGGACATAGGAAGAAAAAATGTCGCAGAAAACTCCGACACCGGCGTTAGGGTGCAACAGTTTAGAAACAAGGTTTAAACATAGACTTATAATGTAGATAGACTGTTCAAAATGCATTCATCAATGCTGAAGCTAGAAACTCCGTCATATGACTAGTTCATCTGTTCGCGATTTTCCGATCAAAACGTATTCCAGTGAAAGCGTGTAAAGATGATTTTCTTCTAAAAGTGGTTGGCGGTTGTGATTCTTGGCTTCGCCAGCTTTAGGTGATATATGTCTATTAAAATCTTTTATCTAAAGTTTTCGAAACACAAAAGAGGAAATTAAAAATAATTCTGACCAACATGGCCAAGAAGAAACAGTATTCTCCGACTGAAATTTTTATGAGAATGATTGCATTTTGATTGAAGAAAAATCATCGGAGGACGGTGTGCTAAATTTTGAAGAATATAATTATCTGACACAAATTCGACAAAGAACACAGCTAATATTTTTTTTAAACTTTAAAGAAAATCAGAGCCCTAAATGATTTCACAAATATATTACATTCAAACCCAGTTTTCGAAAGAAAAAAAAATAGTTCAATATTTTTAGTTTTAGTTAGTTTAGTTCTATTTTGTTCACAGACAACACCGTTCATCCTAGAAAATGTTCGATTCGGAGACGCATAAATATTCATAGCGCTCTTTCATTTCAAAAAACGTTTTCAAATATTGACATACTTTAATGCATCATATTTTTAAAGAAACTTGTGAACCCATTATTTGAAACATTTTACGAACTTATTGTTTCGTGAAACGTTGATATGTTTTTATGCATCATATTCTGATGAAAACTTGCAATTCTATTATTTGCAACATTTAGTGAACTCATTAGTTCAGTAAACC